GAATCTGCCTTGTACTGCTGGATAGTTCCTGACCCCAGCTCCTCCAGCAGCTGAGCGAGAAAGAAAAACGAGTCAGGATCAGACAGTGCTATGAACTCACAGAAATGGTCTTACTAAGCAATTTCAGCCACACTGTCTCCTTGCTTTTTTTTTTAGTCAAGCTTTCACTAAACCAAGTCTCTCATTGAAATTACACGCCACCGATGTTTAGCATGTGATGGTGTATACAGATACTCAGGCTTATGAAAAAGGTAATGCAAGGTAATGCACATGGCTCAAGGCAAACAGAGTGGAGGTTAAAGAAATATTTCCCTGTCTGCAAAGTGGATTAACTCCAGGGCAGTGAAGGCTGGGAAAAATAAGGGGTTACCACATTATAATAACTGAACATGGATGTGGTGGGTTCACTTCTTTATAGAGTCTTCCTTTTGTTAACGCCTTTAGAACTTGCAATGTTGTAGACCATCAAGAATAGGACTAGCCTTGGAAATCATTTTATTCCAAGAACGTTATCTTGTTTCATAAGCTCAACATTCAGGTCGCACTGATGTCTCAGGAGGAAGAACTCCAGGAAAACAAACATGCATTTGGTAAAACTTGCAGCTAGCTCGGCCTTCAATCTCTAAGTCCCAGTCCTGCTCTTTACACAAACTAGACGTCAAAACTCTCGATCAGAACCTCTCACCTTGGCCCCATGCAACTGGATGGAGGGGTCGGCCTCCTTCAGGCACTGCGCACTGACCTCTCCCAGCTGTAGGATGGAGGACTGGGCGATGGAGAAATACCCCTTCACCAGGTGAGCCAGCACCTGTCAACACACAGCACTGCCACTAAGGAACCACTCATGGGGATGAGAAGAGAAGTACTGCAAAAAAGAACTGCAGGTGCAGTCTCCGGCATTTCCTCCTCTGTTTCAGAACTAAATTGGCAAGACTGGCCCTGTAAATCAGTCTATTCCTAACAAAAAAAACGTTCCCTTTCTTTACTATAAATGACATCTCCTGTTGCTGGGGCAGAAATACCCGCGGTGACCCGCAGATTCTCTCATCTTGGACT